TTGTTGTTGTTTAGTTGTTCAGTCGTGTCTGAACTCTTCGTGACCCCATGGACCAGACCACGCCAGGCACTCCTGTCTTCCACTGCTACCCGCAGTTTGGTCAACTCATGCTGGTGGCTTCGAGAACACTGTCCAACCATCTCGTCCTCTGTCGTCCCCCTTCTCCTTGTGCCCTCCATCTTTCCCAGCATCAGGGTCTTTTCCAGGAGTCTTCTCTTCTCATGAGGTGGCCAAAGTCCTGGAGCCTCAGCTTCAGGGTCCTGTCCTTCCAGTGATGCACTCAGGGCTGATTTCCTTCAGAATGGATAGGTTTGATCTTCTTGCAGTCCATGGGACTCTCAAGAGTCTCCCTCCAGCACCATAATTCAAAAGGATACATAATATAGATATATGGAAAAGTCCTCATGAAACTCACCAACATTCAGTGTAAATTTCTCCTCACATACACATTTTTCTAATGCACTTCCCCCCCAATAAAGCATTTCCGAGCCCTCGGGAGGAGAGGGGTGTTGCGGGCTGGCCCCTCCCACAAGCGCGGGGGCTGGAACTTAGCCCCCGCGAGAGCAAGGGAATCCCCGGGGGCGTGCTCTCCGCCCTCCCCCTGTCCGCCAATCGGCGGGCGGGGGAGGTGTGGCCGGCGGCTATTTAAGGGCCAGGCACGCCCGGGATCCGCCCTCTTCATTCCTCGGCAGCAGAGAAGTTTTTTTTTTTTTAGCTGACCGCTTCTGGGATTCCCCCTCTTACCTCGTGCAGCGTGCGGGAAGCCCTTCGGAGCGCTCCCCTCGTGCACCCTCGAGAGGCATCGCAGCAACCGCGTAGCTTGGGCCCGCGTGGGGTCCGTTGTTTCTACCAACACCGCTTGCGGTTATTCGGCAAAAAGAGCTGAAATACGTAGGGGGGTGCTCGGGGGGCCTTATTCTCGTAGGTTGCGCAGCCACGCTCTCGTCAGTCCTGGTCGTGGTTGACTAAGCAAAGGAGCGCTGCCGCCCGTGCGCGATTCGCGCGTTCCGGATAGCTTCCCTCTTCGGTGGCTTCGTTGCCTTGGTCGCTTGCCGCTGCTATGCCGGCCGAACAGCTTGCCCGCCGAACAGCTGGTCGCCTGCCGCGCCGCTTCCTCCCGCGTCGTTCCCTGGCCTCACCATCGAACAGGTCGTATTGTGGTTTTGCTTTTGGGGTTGTATATTTGCTTACCGGGGCTAGGTTTGGTGGTATTGTGAAACCTTGCTTGCGGGGGTCTGCGCTGTGACGCGGTTTAGTTTGTTTTTTTCCCCTCGCTTTGAGCCCTCTCACCCTTTTCGGTGTCTCCCATCCTCCCTCCTGTTGCTGCGGGTCTTTCGTTCCCTGATTCTGTGAATAGCGCAAAGCTTTCTCTGCCGCTGCCCGCTGCTTGGCGTCCCCCCTGATCCTTTGTCTATCTCTTGTCGGGGAGCTCCTCCGCAGCGCGCCCACTATTGGTTATAGTATATTGGCCAAGGGCTGCCGCGAAAATATTTGATTTAGTTTCGGGAGGTTTCCGGGTTCCGCAAGGCAGCGTTTACGAGGAGATTGGGTGGCGTTGCTAAGCAACGAGATTGCTTGCAGCGCCATTTTGAAGTGACCACGTGGCTCTGCGGGTGGCGGCCATTTTGGGAGAGGCACGCCGCATTAGGATAGCGTTCAACGCCATTTTGTTTTGCCCACGTGGCTCCGGAGCGGCAGCCATTTTGGGAGAGGCAGGCTGCATCAGGATAGCGTTTGACGCCATTGTGTTTTGA